AGGAGATTTCCAACTTTAAAATAAATATTTCTCAAATAGTCCAAAAGTATGATTTTGTCTTTATTTTTCTAAAAATTCCTTTATAGCCTTCACTTGTTTTTGTGTAAACTTTTGACTCACTAGTGTACTCTCTCTCTCTCTCTCTCTCTCTCTCTCTCTCTCTCTCTCTCTCTCTTCTGGCGCTGTAGCTTCATAAACGGTCAGCGATGCCGACAGCACGCAGGAACTCAACACTCAACACTTCTTTGACTCTACTAAGGCCTTCCCTTTTGTAATGTTCAACTATGGATTCACAGTTCTCCTCTGGGATAAACAAGCAACAAGTATCGACAAACTCCTATATATAGAACAGACTCAAATTTGGTATAGATTGACTATTTTGTAAGGAATTAGACACAAGGAAAGAAGTGCCACTCTCAGAGTGGAACAGAAAAAAAGTAGGACCTACCAGTCGATGTGTCATGTTCAAAGCAAGTGAGTATCAGAATAGACACATTTTGATAGGAACTCACTAAAGAAATAATGATAATAGCAATAATAATTATAGATAGTATATGTATAGTGCAAATTCCAGCTAAACAGCGAGCTGTTTGGGTTTTACAATAATAATAATAATATAATTATTACTCAAGCAGACCTGAGAGCATTCAAAAACAATCTCAACTCCCTGGGAAGCATACAATGCAAACTGCCATCTTATTTGGTCGTTTTTAAGGACAAGCGGGCTAACCCAGATTTCGGGGGTTTCCAGAAATCTTAACCTGCACCAAAAGTGGACATTGCCCTACCTATAGGAAAAGTTTGGTTTCATTGGTGTGTATATTTGTTTGATTATAGAGGAAACTTTCCTTGTCTTTTAAAGAAACTGAACAAGGGGCAAAAATATTAACGTCGATTTTCTCAAAACAGCATTTTTCTGGAGAGCCCCCTTGTGCTTAAAAGCAACCATTTAAGACACTAACATACGGACAAGATTTTTCGCTGTCTATGGTCAGTTACCCATTCACACCTGGAAGATAATTTAGGAGGCTGGACCCTTTCCCCCTGCCTGTCATGGCCATCCCAACACAGAGAGGGAAACAAGATTCCATCGGATGGAGATATTTGATAAATAAAAGTCTCCACAAAGATTTAAACTCATGTCTTCTGTTTTTAAAAAATGATCTATTTATTTTTATGGTAAGGGTTTTTTTTCTGTGCTCGCAATGGCATAAGGTTCTTTAACGTGTACAACTTGCACACAGGCCCTCCGAGATTTTTCGCCCTTGTCCGAGAAGGCTAGGTGTAGATCTTTCCTACCAGAAGATCAGGGGTGTGGCAGAAAGACAGCAGTAAGAAAGAGCCAAGGAGTAGCAGTAGAAAGGCTGCAGAAAGAATCAGGAGCCCAGAGGAAGGGGCAAAGGAGGTGAGGGGATGGGAGAAAGTGGAAATGAAAGCAGACGACAGAACATTGCCAGAGAGCAACAAAGAAGGTGAAAGGAGACAATTTTAGTGAAGAAAATTTTTTGGTCGCTACCAGGATTCGAACCTGGGACCTTTGAATGAGAGGCGACACCTTAACCTCTATGCCCCGGGAGCTCCCACGTCTTCAGTGATTGACAACAAGGAGCCGAACTACTACACCACAGATGCTGGTGGTAGCCACCAACTTGGAACTCTACAGGCAACTCTTGAAAAAATAGAAGGAGCAGACCACACTTCAGCACAAACTATCTACCCACACACTAGTAATGAAGTTTTATGTATGAAAATCTTTCAATTTGCTAGAACAAAACAATGACAGAGAGAGATAAAATCAACAAAATCATTTTCTGACTTTCAAAACTTTTAATATCTTACCACAATAAGTAAGTACTCATAGTGTTAAAAGTCAAAGAAAGATGGATGTGATGATAATCGGATAGATTAGGCATTGGATTAGTACACACGAATTAGTTCAACTTCTCATCTGAGATATTCTGTATGATATTATGTCATATTGGCAAGTATAAAGGGGTTAATATAGTTAATTTATAGTACACATACTCTGCTTATCAAAATGCACAGAGACTGTAGACTCATGACTGCAAAAGTTTCTAAGAAACAACATGTTCAAAAACTATATAAAAAATAATTCACATAACAAAAGTTGTTATAAAAAAATGGTACAAAAGTTGTTATAAAAAAATGGTCCTGAAAATGCGTGTCTGAACTTTAGAAAAAAATAATAAAGGGAAATGCATAGTTCAGTTTTATTGTATAATAATAACAAGGTAAATGCATCTCTTGGTGTTATTCTAAAATAACAATGATCAACAGCAGGAATAAACATTTACCCTGATCAAATTCACAAAAAGGCTTTCATTGCACATTCACAGAGTAGACAGATAGATAGATAGGAATAGAGACAGAAATGACTGTCGCACAACAATCCAACACTACTGAACACACCAACTTGTAATGCTGAGCACTGGTCATAAGCCATTTCAGAGGTACGGGAATCACAAAGATAGTAATAAAAAACATTTGTATATAATATAATCACTTTTGTTCATGAAAAACATAACCAATATATAAAAAACAACAACCTTCTTAAGGAAGACTTCACTATTCAGGCAAGATCTCAGGCCAATAAACAACGCAAGTGTACCTTGGAACATGCTTGCATCTCACAAAAAACCAGCATCGTTCTAATCTGTATCATAAAGGTATACAAAAAGAAAATCAAAAGGTTTGATCCCACGTGCTCTGTAACTTTCACAATCCTTCGTTCTGCATTCTCTGCGTGTAAAAGGTTCAGCGTAGAGAGAGTTACATGCTCCAACCTCCATCAACGACAAACTCCTGGCCAGTCACAAAGCCAGACTGTGGACAAGAAACAAAGAAATCACAAACACAAGTAAGACAATCTAAATCAAACTTTGGGTAGTTTTCTTATTATTACGAGTATGTTATTATGAAAAAGCCTTTATAAATATTTATAAAAACAATTGATAAAAAATACTATTTTTGGCTTGAGGATCGTAAGCAATTAATATTTTATTTCAGTTACATTTATTTTTTCATGAAAAAAGCATTTGCAATAAAAAAAATATTACTACAGAATACTTATGGTGAAAAAAAGAAAGAAAATAAAAGCTGGCTACAATAAGCATCATGTCTCACTCTGCATTCTAACTTTCCTGAGATTAAAAAATTAGTTGTCAAGAATGACAAAAGAAACAAATTCTTATTTGATAATGTCAGCACGGTAAAAAAACAACACCAAAAAACCCAACTTCATATGACAAAGAGGATAAGAGGTACGGTCCCGATGCCCAAAGCTTACCTCGTCAGAAGCTAAGTACACTACAAGGCTTGCGATTTCTTCAGGGTTAGCCAACCTGCCCATTTTCTGACGAGCAATGAAATCTTGAAGAGCCTGAAGAATAAAAGATAACTCATCTGAAATTAAAGTTTGTGTGTGAATTTACATGATCCAAATGAGGGAACAGGTGAGAGTGTACACATGAGTGGATGTAGCCTACAAGCCATAGCTCATTGTATGAGAAAGAGAATTGTCACTTTAGTTTAGTAAGGTTTTTAGTTTTGTTTTAGTAGAGGTTTTACGGCGCTCGCAGCTGAATAAGGTCATTTGAGTGCCAAGTGGTGGATGTCAACAGAGAAGTCCAAATGGGGATTAAGGCTTACTCTGCTTACCTCTCTGGCCTCACAGCACAAAGTCTGCTTTGACTATCAAGGCACCCCGGAAATAGCAGTTCACAAGAGAGTGACAAACATACAAAAGAAGTAGAGGACAAATGGCGATAGTAAGGACGAGGAAAGAAAAAGCAGCAGTTGCCTCTATGTTGTTCTGGCACAGTATGAGCATGACATTGATAAATCAGCCCATTTACAATTCTACTTTGCATTAGAACATGTTAATATCCTCCCTTCGGGAATGGCTTAAAGACATCTTCAGTCAGTAGCACTGCCCTGGGGGGAGGGGGGGGGGGGGGGTTGTCATTCCTGTACATGTGTGTAGTATGTTGGATAATGTAATCAAAAAACAAACAAGAAAGAAAAAAATAGACTGAGAGTGAAAGGAAAATACAGAGAGATGCAGAAATAGCAACAAGCAGGAAGAGCTGTAAATATACATCAACAACTTTCTTTATTTAAAATATTATAAGCCCTTAGGTCAGTGTCTTGTAGTTTTTAGTGAGGAAGACACATCAGAGGTAATAGTGGAAGTCAAAAGCTTTAGCTTTAGAACACAAGCGCTGAATGACCTACTCAGCGACTCAGAAATTGTAAGAAATGCAAAACATAAATTATACAAAATAATATTTTAAAAAAATTACTTTCACACACCTTGATTTTAGAAACCAAGGGGTCTTTTTCAGGAGTTTAACATAGTACTAGGAACAAAAACAGGTAGGTCACATCCAATTTTAACATAGTACTAGGAACAAAAACAGGTAGGTCACATCCAATTTTAACATAGTACTAGGAACAAAAACAGGTAGGTCACATCCAATTTTAACATAGTACTAGGAACAAAAACAAGTAGGTCACATCCAATTTTAACATAGTACTAGGAACAAAAACAAGTAGGTCACATCCAATATGTGCCCAACAGTGATGGGAGACAGGTGTGTTCATATCTGGACCAGCTTATGTCACAAAAGGCTCAAGTACTCGATGACCAGGCAGCAAATGTAATCTGTTAAGTACGTCTTAAATGTCCCTATCTCTATAGATGGAAGGGGTTGAGAAATAGACTGACTGAACTATTTATAGACTTTGATCTATGCTGGACAACTTTCACTCCGCAAGCTTTTAGTTCACAGTTGCAAATCACGACTAAATCTGCCTTGAGGCCAGAGAATGGAGCCAAATAATGATTTCTGAGCGACATATCTCATTAGACACAGCTTGGCCTGAATAAAAATGGTGACAGTATGGCACAGATGTGTCCTGTAAAGTTAAAGCTTTTAAGGACATGTGACTTAACTAAACAACTGTCTACAAGAGACAAAAAAAATCAAACATTGGAAGGATAAGGGGGGTGGGCACTCCTGCAACAGGTGGTTATTCACACGCGCTTAAATGGATTCATGGTGAGTAGGCTTCACATTCATCCAATCTGTGCCAAAATGGTGAAATGGTATAGGTTTAACACCCCTATCAACACAGTTTAGTAATTTAAAAGGTGGGACCTCCTCTGAGTTAAAAACCCATCTCTGAAAGGACTGAGCCAAATGGGACATTTGTGTAAATTGCCTGTCCCTAGGACACAACAATGGATCAAGCTCAGTCATTTTTACCAGCTTAGGTCAGAACATGTAAATGTACTTGATAGAAAGTGTACAAAACTCAGGTTCAATGTTTTTGTAATTAGTAATTAGACATGTCATAATATGATCTTTTTTGAGCAAATTTGACAAACTTGAAATAGATGACAACTTTCTTCTTACCTCTTTCAAGATTTATAAATTGCTGAATTTTGGTAAATATTCCGTCCTGAAATTGCTCTGGTTTTCCCCTGTGTGGCTACAGGCCAAAACATTTACAAGAAATGTAGGCCTGTCTTAAACACAATTAGTTGAGAGAATAAAAATGGACCAGAGAGGTGCTAAACTCCTTATTTCCGGTAAGCCCATACCAGCGACTAGCGGTAGGAACCCCTATGCTGGTGAGTCATTGGAATTGGCTTGAGAATATTATTTTACAACGACTGCGACACCAAATTACTTTTCAGTAATTGCCGAAAAATAGGTCTCTTTAAACCTGGAGTTAGTCCATTAAAAAAAACTATCGAAAAAGGTTCATTTGTTTTGATTTAATGACCAGTTTAGTTACCTATATGTTAATTTTAGATTTCGTACCAAAAGAGAGCCCCCAGCATAGTGGGTTTTTAGTTTTAGTAAGAGTTTTACAGCACTTGCAACACAATAAGGTCATATAAGTGCCAAAAAATAGATGTAACATACACAAAAAAGAAAGAGGAAAGATAAGGACGATCGATGGTTGACAGGAAAGAAGGAGCTAACCACACCAGAGCCCACGCCAACTTCCTCTCAGAGATACAGAGTTAAAGTGGTCATATGGATCTCAGACTAAGGATTTACCTTCTCTGGATCAGCTTGAGCTGCCATCCTGCCCCTCAGGGAAGGCGTGTCCACAGTGCCTGGGGGGGGACACACAACAACATAGAGGGTGAATGCGATACAGTTCTTGCCAATTTATATGAGATTGACACCCTCTGATTAGAAAAAAAAGTGCGAATGATAGAGTCCAATAGCGTATAATTACATGTATACTTAGTAGGAGAAGTAATTGTTACAGACAGGGAGGGATTCAAGGATGGTAGATGTAAGTCATTGATCTGAGAGCAAAGATGATTTTTAGAAATAATGGTGGTGATGAGTGATGGTGCGAGATTGCGTTTAAGTAATGTTAGCGTTTGTCCTATCTTCCTCTGCTCCAATGAGTCACAGGGGACGTGGGCACGCTCTATCTCATTCCATAATGGAAGCACCTTTAATGTCAAGAAGAAGTTCTGAAATTCAATACGGTCATATCGTCCATGTAGCAACCAATCATTTTAAGTCCATTTAGGTACTTTTTTCACCATAGTCAAATATCTAGTATTAAACTGCACTTTGGTGATGCTGAAAGGTGCGTCTTTGATAGGGCTTTGGGAAGGTACAAAAAAATCGAAAATTCTCAAAATTGTGACTTGAGTGGAATGCTAGCAACAGCGACATAAATGCTCAATGAAAGACTGAATTCTGACTAGAAATGCACCTAAAACATTAGAAATCAAACTGGCTGCCAGGTGCCGCATGACAAAACTAAATTTTAATATGTTTTTTTGCTTCTCCGGTAACATTTATTCCGCTGGGGTTAGCCAGTTCTATCACAAGGACAACAGTTTGGCAGTAGGCCAACACCCCTTTGAGTACTAGATCTATATCTGTAACATAATACATGAAAATCAAATTGATTAAATTGCGCCTTGATGGTTTTTGGGGGTTTTTTTTGGTTTGAGTAAAGAGAAGAACATTGATACAATAACGGATATTTAGGGAAAAGGTAAGACAGGCAGACAGAAACATTAGAGGGAAAATAAAGAAGAAGGACCAAACAGTGGTGCCTCCAACCATCAGCCAAAAAACCCTGTTAACGTAGGGCACCCGCACATAGACAGCGGGAGACCTTGTCAGCATGTCAGTGTTTCAGCACCTCTATAAAACGGCAGCTTGCACTGTATGTTTCCCAGGAAGTTGAGATTGTTTTAGAACGCTATCAGGTCTGCAGGGGTGATATTATAATACAGATTGTGAAGCGCATAGAATTTGCGGTTGAGTAGGAAGTTGCACTAGATCTATACAAATGCTATCTATTATTGTAATAATATTGAAAAGTGCATAGAAATTGCTGCTGAACGGGAATTTGCGCTTATGAAATATTATATATTATTATATATATATTAACTGCCCCAACACCTGAAGAACAGGAAAACTAAGCCCGAAAACAAGAATGCAAACCAACATCAGCGACTCACCTGGACAGACCGAGTTGACCCGGATCTTGTGGTCCACAAAGTCCACGGCCAGAGACTTGCTCATGCCTATCACAGCAGCCTTGGTGGCCGCATAGACAAACCTGTTGGGAGCACCTAGAGGTCAAAAAGAGTTGGGCTGAGATAATAATAATAATAATAATAATAATCACCATCATCATCATAATGATAATGATGATGATGATGATGGTGTGATGATGATGATGATGATGATGATGATGATGATGATGATGATGATGATGATGATGATGATGATGATGAGTTACTCCTGAGAAAGCCTATGAGGCGAAAAGTAGAGCCGATTCAATAAAACAAATTTTGAACATTTTATATTCACATTTTTTTGCCTGTAAAATCAAGCAAGACTCTCGCTCGTACTTCACTTTTTAAACAATAATAATGATGATGATAATGATAATGATAATAATAAAGATCACTTCTATAATGCCAACTCCCATGTCGCTCTAGACCTTTTACACCGAAATAAGATTTAAATCAATGTTTCAAGCAAAACTATACATTTAGGAATTAGCTGAGTCAAGACAGACCACTGAGCTTCTGTGATGCTCAAAACTAGAATCATAATATCCAAGACTTCAGCACTATCATGACTGCCACACTATAGTTCCTATAAAAACTTTGCTGAGTGTCTAAGTTCAGGCGCACCATAGACTCACACATGAAGAAAAAAACACAAGTCTCACTATAGTTGAGTACGCGTGCAACCTTTCCCTTTTTACCCTTCATTTGATTTCAAATAGAGTCAAAAGGTGCACTCCATGGTGAACTGGAATTACGACTTCCACATAGAGGTAAATGGTGTGCTTCATTATGAACCAGAATTACAACTTCCACATAAGGGTGAACGGTGTGCTTCATTATGAACCAGAATTACAACTTCCAAAGAGAGTCAAATGGTGGGCTTCATTATGAACCAGAATTATGACTTTCACATAGAGGTAAATGGTGTGCTTCATTATGAACCAGAATTATGAATTTCACATAGAGGTAAATGGTGTGCTTCATTATGAACCAGAATTATGACTTTCACATAGAGGTAAATGGTGTGCTTCATTATGAACCAGACTTATGACTTCCACATAGAGGTAAATGGTGTGCCTCATTATGAACTAGTATTACATGTCAGAGTGCCCCATCTTGGATATCACAATATGAGTCTACGCTGTGATGTCACACAAGAAGTAACCAGTAATTGCTGCGGCTACCTTTGATGCTGGAGACAACTGATGACATGTTGATGATGCTTCCACCGGTACCCTGAGCGATGAACTGGGGATGGAAAACATTCAGTCAACAACTTCTGTAGGTAAGGTTGATAATGAAGGTACGAAGAGGAGGAAGAGAAGTATTAAGAGGAGAAGGATTAAGTAGAGGAGCAGGAGGAGGAAGAGGAGGAGGAGGAGGAGGAGGAGGAGGAGGAGGAGGAGGAGGAGGAGGAGAACAAGGCCAAAGACACAAGAAAAGGAATTAGTTCACTTGAGTCCTCTATTCGGAGGGGGGGGGGGGGGGGGGGGGGAGAGCAGAATCTGCTTTCAAGTAGACTTTTACTCAACATTCTAGCATGAAACTAACTGAACTTACAAGGCAAGGTTCCCTTTTATGAGTTCATCTGTCATGAGTCTGTCTATACTTCAGAAACGATGGGGAACCAAACTGGGATGCCCTACACAGAGCTCTAGCATGAAACCAACAGAGCAAAAACTGTCCTCATTGTGAGCTTATCCGTCATGAGACAATGACAATCTTTATTCATTTCTCAGGGAGGAATTAAATTTACTTGGTTGTTTAAAATGACAGTAGCATAACAAAGGTCAGGTGTGCCTACACATACACACACAAGACAGGACATTGACACTTTGCGGTCACTTGGCGCACGCAGTAATGCGTCAGTGAAAATTATCCGTTACGGTCACCTGGCCCAGTTCTGCGCCAGGCCAGAGAAGTACCTTGCAATCACTCTTCTGGTTGGGTGACCAGATGGCACCATGGGGTATTTTTTACTGGTGGCTGTGTGACTGCAAAGTGTTAAATACATGTATTACCTGCTAAAAACATCCCACCACCCTCTACCCCCCCCCCCCCCCAACTCAGTAAAAATTTTCAGTCCATACCTTAGGAACAAAAACTGAGCACATTGTGTAGGCGCTCTTGACATTCAGGTTGAAGGAAAAGTCCCAGCTTTTCTCGTCACAGTCCAGCAGAGTTCCATGGTGGACAAATCTGGGGAAGTGAAAATCAGAAATGAAATACTGATCATTGATAAATGTGAATTAAAATGTCTTTCCCCTTCACCCAAGAATTCAATTGTTGGCCAGTAGGAGAAAAAGCATCACTCTTAACAATAACCTACAATAAAACGAGTTAAGAGGGAAGAACACTTAATTTATAACATATCCTAAAAATATAAAAACTACTTTTCTTTTGGGCCTGGCAAAACATTTTTCAAAAAGGGGAGGAACTGCTTTATAATATTCAAATGTCACAAAGATCAGAAACAGATATTGGTCATCACGGTTTGCCACTTATTTGTCCATTCTATGCTCTCATAAATCAATTTCATATTCTAATGGTTTTTTTCCATTCACAATTCTGTTCAAATATTAAAACCAAGTTACACTTAGGAACTTGCTCCTGAAAATTCTGTACCCTGCTAATTTGTCAAGTACTAACATCGACTGCTAAGCAAAGAATTTGTTCTGTTGGAAAATTTCCCGCACAGAAGCAGATGTACCAGCCTTGGCCGCAAACAAACACTTACCCAGCACAGTTGAAGAGAACATCAATTTTATCCACAGATTTGGCAAATTTTTCAACATCGTCCTTTTTCAAGACATCAAGGACTTGGGTTTCAATTCCTGAGAAGAGACCATAAATGATTCGTTTTTACTGAAACGTTATCGGCTTTAAAAAAAATGGATCAAAAGTTATTCTAAATGTCGGAAAATAGAGCTTGATCAGAACACTGTACAGAGATAAAGTACTTCAGAAAGGGCAAGACAAACCATCAGTAGAACTTTCCAATTCTCTAAGTTGTTCAAGTACATATTCAGCTATACCTAAGAAGTGGTGCCCATTGGCATTAAGCGTTCAGTTAATTTTGGTTTTGGTCATCGGGGCTACCCAGATTTTCCTCCATGGAGGGGCAAAAGTTATCATCGTGGCATAAACTAACAAAACTAATAATAAGCTTCAAAACAAAATGCGTTAGTTTTCAACGTCACAATTTGTGTGATCGGTTTGAAGCAAGGGTCTAGTTGTAGTGAGCACTGGAGCTGCCAGAAACCGAACCGAACAGGGTCGATCCTCCAAAGGACAAAGTTCATCAAAACCAGAACTAAAATGTTCTTTTGTTTTGGAAATAAAAAGTCATTATTATTTTTTTCACAGACCACATAAACAACAATTCAATCCCATGTAGCTGGGAACATAATTGCTGGGAAAGTAAATTACGTCTTCTCTAAACAGTCAACAGCTGTAACCTGATCATACATTGTTTCTACAAAAAAACAGACTTGTACGGGAGTAATTCAGAAAACGACTATTTGATGAACAAGAAAGTTACTATCTGTTTACCATTACATTCTGATCTTTTCACTGTTCAGGCTCAGCAGAGACCCACTGTTGCAGGGTCTTCTAAAAAAGTAGGAAAAATATGCTGAGATAAAAATATCAAAGGATCCACAACAACAAAGGCATCAACTAACAGTCTTGTACTTTGGCCAGCAAAGTGTGAATTCACAATCAACAAAACTGCGCAACGGCAAATGTTGATCAAAATATACAGTACAAGCTAAAAAGGAATCAAAGGGTAAAAGTTACTGTCATAGCTGATGATTAGGCTCCAAAAAAATGTAACATCATTCTTCTGCTTTATTCTGCTGTCTCTGGCATAAATGAGAGGTTGGCAGGTGGCCTGGGGTGTGGTTTGCTTCTATCTCTTTTTTGTTTCTGTAAAGTGTTTTACGGCGCTCGCAACTGCATATAAGGTCATATGAGCGCGCGAGACACACCTAATATTTCCAGTTGGTAGGTAATTTGGAATTTTGCCCGGGTGGCGGCCGAAGCCTACTCTTATCAATTTTAGATTACCAAGGGATCTTTAACGTGCGCAACTTGCACACGGGCCTTCTGGGATTTTTCGCCCTTGTCCGAGAAGCTAGGTGTAGATCTTTCCTACAAGAAGATCAGGGGTGTGGCAAAAAGACAGCAGTAAGGAGGAGCCAAGGAGTGCTTCTATCTCTCCTCCTCCTTGGATTTGTATGTTACTGTACAGAGACACCTCTTATATTTGGCACTTAAATTACCTTTTGCGCTGCACACCTCACTTAAAACGAACCTTGTAAAATCTTTCAATGAACAAACAAAAACATTTCTCTTACCATTGCCCTTTCCTTTGCAAGTGTAGGAAAAAACCCGGAAAAAAACAGAGATTTGGCATCCCTGATTCAAAATGCATAACGAGAAGCAGTTTCTTACCCGGGGTCCCCTCCAACTCCTTGAGCACTTCCCCGTTGACGTCTGTGGCAATCACTCGTGCTCCTTCCTTCGCTGCCATCTGTGTAGTACAAGTATTGTAGCTTTGTTTTAGATAGAGTTTTACGGCACTAGCAAGACAATAAGGCCATAATGCGTCGAAGATTAGAGGTGTTACAAGAGAGTAACAAACACAAAAGAGAAGTAGAAGAGATCAGGACGATAGATGTTTGATAGGAAAGAAGGAGCAAACCACACAAGTATCTAAAAATGTTACACTTATGTCCGACCACAATAGAAAAACAAGCAGGATGACAGAAAGGAATTTTGGATCTAAAAACATAAACCCAAGAGAAAGTTTCTAATAAGAGATATAATCTACTGACCTCTGTAATAGAATTTTAAGAAATTAACAGAAAAGATTTTAAAAAACCAAAACAAACCAAAACCATTAACCTTAGAAAAATAAAGGTTGTTCCTTTTTTGTCTCATACAAAAGTGACTCATGAGGCTAGACTTTCCCAGCTGTTGAACCACCTCCACACAAATGTTCACTTGTAAATAGGTAGCAAGCAGTAGTTGAGGCTGGTGGCTTCATGTGCGGGTGGGAAGGGGACATCTTTACCTTCAACAACACAACAACCAGCCAAAGGATTGAGCCAATAGATATCATCCATACCCCAGAGGTATTAAGAAAACAATTTGAAAAATTGAAATAGAATCATGATAATAATAAATAGCATTTGTATAGAACATAAGCCCCCTCTGCGGTGAGCTTTTTGGTCTTTACAATCTATATTATTACCCCAGCATATCCCAGAACATGATTCCGAAACATTTGAAGCTTCCCAAGAAGCTTACAGCGTGAGCAGACGATGAAGCACTCAAAAACCAACTAACTGACAAGATCTTTCACTATCCACCGCCAGGTATCCATTCCGACCTGGGTGAAGTGAGGACATTTCATGTAAAATGCCTTTCTCAAGGAAACAATATCGGGTCCTCCACTGGGTTTGAATCCAAGACCTTTCAGTTGCGAGCACAGCAGACTAACCACCAGACCACCGACTCACCAAGGCTACAGCTTTGCCAATGCCCTGGGCGGCAGCTGAAAGAACGAAAACTTTTCCATCCAGACGTCCCATAGTTGAAGTAACAAAATGTTGAACAGCTGTTGCTCTTTTCACTGTCTTTCTGAAACAACAAATTAAATGCAAAATTTGAAAAAAAAAGTTTTTTCCACATTGTTCTGGCTCTGAATTCATTTTGATTTCATTTTGATTTTATTTTCATCCGGCCCTGGAAAAAAAAGTATGAACAGTAATCTGCAATAAAACTGTGGGTGTTTCCTTTCCTTCCTTCTATGACACTAAGACAACAATTAAATTATTAATTATCAGTGATATGTTATAACTCTAGATGTTGATATATGAATTTCCGTAGCAAACTTAAAACACTCAATTAAAAACATAAAGATCCACAACCGGAGAACAATAAACAGCACACTACTAATAAAGACTATCACTGAAAGAATTCTGTACATTCAAGATCTCTATAAACACAAAACAGAAAATCAAAGTCATGAGAATTCAAGCAAACATTCACAACAACTTAACCACTATGCGATCCCACACCTAAATTAACAGTACGAGTGGTTACACAGACTAACTGTAGCCTTTACCCGTATCGAGCATTATAAGACGTTTTATCATTCTGATAAGGCACGGAAAATGACATCTAACGCTCGTTCAAAAAGTTGTACCCCTATTGTGAACTTTGTCACAAGATTAGACAATGAAATTCACAGGCATGCCAAGGTGTGTACTGTACTGACAGAATAGTATTAGAAAGGGGGACAGTGCAATAAGTAAGATCATTTATTTTAGCCAACACCAAAAAAGGCAAAAGCCTTGTGACAAGGGTATAAATGCTCTATAAAGATACAGTGCTGCTTCTGCTAAAATAAAAAGTAAAGAATAGACAAACAGAGAGTATCTTTGTCTCTAATGTCAAATGTGCATGGAATCATAAGTCAACACCCCCTCTTCCTCGAAAAAAAAACTATTGTAAAAAAAAAAACCCAACTCATTTTTCAAAAGGACGTTTTGCAGAACATATAATTGAAACCAAAACAAACAATGAACTACTGTGACTATTTGCTTTTTACAAAATCTTTTGAGATTTATTTAAATGGTGCTGTTTTGCTGTCTATTCTTTTGTTTCTAGGTTTGTTTAGTTTGGGATTTTTTGTGCCTTTTTTTCAGGCGGGGGGTGGGGGGGGGGGGGGGTAAGCTTGGTGAGTGCTTTGGTGTCATTTGCTCCCTTTTTCCTGTTAAACATTTTTATCAACTTTCTCCTCCCTCTTTCTTGTGTTTGCTACTCTTTGTAACACCCCTAATCTTTGGCACTTATCATGACCTAATCGTATTCCAAGTGCCGTAATACACTTACTAAAACAAACACAGGCACTGCTGGAGAATATTTGAACAGTGAAACTGCTGAGGCACCACCTTTTTATCAGTATATGCCAAGGTTTCCTTCTCTCAAGTAGAATATCAGTACTTTTTTTTCTACTTATGAACAGCAGAAAGGGTAACATTAAGCATCTCACTCTCACCACATTAAGCTACATTATAAGAACTAAGCCAGAAGAAAAATTCAGCTTCAAATTCTCATTATTATCTGCTAGAGCTTCTTCGCCGAAATGTCACCAAAGGTCATAGTCCTAATCTGTTTCAGCGTCACAGGTTGTTTGCTGGTGTTGTTTTTTTGGTTGTTGTTTTGTATATTTTGTTTGTTTTGTTTTTAATACTTCTATTGAAAGTGCTGATACAGTGCCTTCGGCTATTGTACTGCTACTGCTTAAGTCGTTGCTGAATACATTACTTCTCAGTTCTGCCACTACCCGGTATCAGGTGTGCAATTTGTTTTATGAAACAATGAGAGGACTTCTAGTATTTAGAGAAGAGACCAAGAGTTTCATGAGCAAATTGGGGAGGGGGGGGGGGGGGAGGGAGACAGAACCATCATATATGTGAAAAACATTGGATTACAAATCTGCTCCTACATTATCGAAATCATGTTGATGAGGGCGGAAAACCATCCTCATTAAACAAACAAAACAATACAAAAAAGGTAGCCTACTAAAAAAAAACCCCAAAACATAAAGATGGACAGCATACTAACAACAAGCATATTCATGAACTATCAGACAGGTAAAGAATAAATCCACACTAATATGCATAGGCTATACATCTGCAACTATATTATTGTACTTTGAATTCCTGTTTTGAATGGACATTAGGTACATAGACCCCCATCAACAAAAAAAACTTTAGAAACAAAAATTACTTTTGTTATAAATATTCAATACAATGATACAAATCAAAACCTCTGTCAAGAGTTAACATTAGAGTGGAGCGGATGACAAGTTCACCAAATTAGCATTCTTTGGACACTTAACTGAAGACTTTAAGGAAAGGTAAGGTAAAAGGAGATAAAAATATTTATTTAGGAGCCTGTTACATGATCCTCTTTTTAAAAAATACATAGGTGCTTTTACACCTCCACAAGTTAGAAGGGGGCTCTCGTGGCCTAGAGGTTAAGGTGTTGGCCTCTCATTCAAAAGGTCCCGGGTTCGAATCTGGGTAGGGACCGAAAAATTTTCTTCTCTAAATTTGTCTCCTTTCTTCTCATTTCTTGCTCTCTAGCAATGTTCTGTCATCTGCTTTCGTCTCCTCTTTCTGCCCCTATCCCCTCACCTCCTTTGCCTCTTCCTCTGGGCTTCTGATTCTTTCTGCAGCCTTTCTACTGCTACTCCTTCGCTTCTTCTTACTGCTGTCTTTCAGCCACACCCCTGATCTTCTGGTAGGAAAGATCTACACCTAGTCTTCTCGGACAAGGGCAAAAATTCTCGGAGGGCCCGTGTGCAAGTTGCGCACGTTAAAGATCCCTTGGTGGCCTAAAATCGATAAGAGTAGGTTTCGGCCGTCACCCGAGCAAATTCTACCAACTGAAAATATTAGGTGTGTCCCGCGCACTCATATGACCTTATGCAGTTGCGAGCGCCGTAAAACACTTTACAAAAACAAAAAAACAAGTTAGATCCTTTAGAAGGCGGGTTTCAACCCTCTCTGTCTGGGCCAATCCGGGATCAACAATTAAAAAGAGCTTCAAATGGGTATTTAGGGATCTTTTGACACAAGATGTTTATGAGTACGTCATTTAATTTCAGTGTCAAAAGAACAAATTTCTCAGTTCAGCTGAAATTAAGGAATGGGGGAATCATGTCACCTGTAATTAGTTTCATAAGGTTCAAATACTGTGTTTTATACACCACTATTCCTAAGACGAGTCGTTGACTCAGATAAATGGGAGGCATCATGGTGATATCAGGTGCTCGTCAAAATAATTAAATCAAAGAAATCTGCATTTTTTTGGCCGGTGGGCAATTTTTTTTCTAATTTTCCTTTTTTTTTGGCACAACACCTTTTAAGTCCATTTAAAAAACACATTTTGAGTGGATATTACTGAAAAACATTGATTAAAGGCATAAAAATGTAAACTTTCAGTTTCCAAGGATGCAGGCTATGGAAGTAACCAAACTTTGGTGGCCATGATTTCCTGGCGAATTTTATCTCTGAAACCAGGTGACCCTGACCTCCTTCAAGTGCAAGTTATATCGACTTCTATTCAACATAAATATGGAGACTTTTTTCATCAAAAGAAAGGTAAATGAACAGGCTTTAAGACGATACCGATAACCCCATTTAAGGCACAAAAATTAACGAGCGTGCTAATTCCACCACGTCCTGACACAAATGGTTATGATGAAGGCTCAGAAAAAGATGGATAGAAGGAGTCATAGAAACACTACATAAAAACAATCACAAGACGCAACACTCAACAGGCGATACAAGAGAGAGAGAAAAGGGGGAGCTCTCATGGCCTAGAGGTTAAGGTGTTCGCCTCTCATTCAAGGGTCCCTGGTTCAAATCCGGATAGAGAACGAAAAATTTTCTTCTCTAAAATTAGGTCTCCTTTCACCTTCTTTCCACCTCGCTTGCAATTTTCTGTCGTCTGCTTTCGTCTCCACTTTCTTCTCTCACCTCCTTTGCCCCTTCCTCTGGGCTCCTGACTCTTTCTGCAGCCTTTCTTCTGCTACTCCTTGACTCCTTCTTACTGCTGTCTTTCTGCCACACCCATCTTCGGGTAGGAAAGACCTACACCTAGCCTTCTCGAGCAAGGGCGAAAAATCTCGGAGGTCCCATGTGCAAGTCGCACACATTAAAGACCCCTTGGCGGTCTAAAATCAATAAGAGTAGGCTTTGGCCACCACACGGCCAAAATTCAAAATTTCCTACCGACTGAAAATGATAGGTGTGTCCGCGCACTCATAGGTTTCTGACCTTAAGCAGTTGCGAGAGCCGTAAAACATTTTAATTAGGCCTAGCTCCCCCCCAGCCCCCCCACTAAAAGGCAACATTATAGACAGAGGGTGGAAAAAAATAGTATAAAAGATTACAAAATATATTCAAAGTGACTATTTCTCCCAACGTTCGTCAAAATAAAGTTGAACTCTATTTCTCCTAACGGTTTCCGATCTCGAGATTTTTTGGGTTAGTAGCGAGATTTAGGCGTCATCCTTTCATTCAGCAATTCTGCGAGGACTGGGAAGAAGCATTTTTTTGCATGGAATTCAATTTCTAGAGCTAGAGATTTTTAAATGTCTGAATATTCAGATACTTCAGTTGTTGTAGGGGCAACATTCCCGGACTATACTTCATTTGAAAATACCTTCAAAAGGTACTGTGAGAAAACAAGACTGCTCGACCATGGCAGTAACCTATTTTGCATTTAGTCACCTAGCAAAAACTAAAATCCTTCATGTAAAAAAAAATCCCTCCACACCCCCCCCCCCCCTCCCCCTGTTCACACCTTACACACACACAGACACACACACACACATGCACACTCACACACACACACGGGCCACTCCAATCGCTTATTATCAACAAATCTTGAGAACGGAAACCGTTCCGAGAAATAGAGTGCAAGTTTATTTTCCCGAACATTCGGCCATATTATTATAACGTTTGATAAAGTTCATGTATAGGTCTCTATACTTTTAACAATAGGATAGTCGATGGACTATTGGGGTCTGTTTTTTCATGTCGTTTAGGGTTTTTTTGTTTCGCTGTTGTTGTTTTTTTGTTGGGGGGGGGGTCCGAGGGGTTGTTATTTTTTTTATTTTTGCGTTTGCTCTGTGGTGACTTTTACAGTAAAACGTTTGACAGTGACTTTCCCTTGTTGTTGTTGTTGTTTTCAAATCCCTTTAGCTGCGAGCATTTCGCTCTTGGCAGCGCAATGCCTCCCTCAAGTAACCACATGTCCTTGTCATCTGGTCAACGCCAGAGTACAGCAGGCTTTGTAAGTCTGTAGGTGTGTGTAGGAGCCTGCGTTGAAGAACTGCCAGGTTTGGGCAGTGAAGGAGAAGATGTTCAACGGTCTCCTCGTGGTAGTCACAGTGTCTGCAATGGGGTTCCCACATGGGGTGGATTCTGTTTATGTGCTTGTTGGTGTGTAAGTGTCCTGTGCGGGCTCTGAAGATCAATGTCTGATCGGCTCTACATAAAAGATTCGAAGGGTCTTTGAGGTTGGGTTTGTCCATGTACCCGAAGAGAGATCTTCCTGTTTCTGCGTTGGCCCATCTGTTTAGCCACACGTCTCTGCTTTTGGCTTGGATGATCCCTCTGCAGGCCTGTAAAAAGGCGGTTGTGTCTGTCTGGGGCAGGCTCACTCCAGCCTTCGATAGATGGTCTGCAGTCTCATTCCCTGGTACTCCAGAATGGCCAAGCACCCACTGCAGTGTGACCCGGACGCCATAGAAAGTGCCCATCTGTTTTACAAGGCTGAGGATGTTCCCGTCACCTCTGCAGTCTCCTCCTCCCTCGACGGCTTGGAGTACTGACACATTGAGTCAGAGAAGACAACAACATCCCCTGGTGTTACTGCACCTTCAAAAAAGTCTTGGGCGATCTGTTCCAAGGTCTTTACTATGGCGATTCTCTCCGCATCATAGTTGGAGCTGTATGTTCCACAGGGGCCAAATAGTTGGGTCTGCTTCTTCTCTCCGAGGTTGTTTCGATATTTGATGGTAGATCCGTATCCAGCATTCCGTGTAGCGTTTGTTGCTGACCCATCTGAGAATGCATGGATTGTAGTTTCAGCATACGAGTCCACTGTCTCCAGGGCGCTAGTTCTGAGGATTTCTTCTGGTGTGACTTTCTCTTAAATCGAACAATAAAATGAATATAATAGCTCAAACTTTCCTCGCATTACGAGTTTTACTGTTACTCCCTCAGGGCTGGTTTTGTCTGATCTAAGGGTGGGCCGACTCCGAGAACTTCCGAACTTTCGACTCCGAACATTTTTGGGTTCGAGTTCATTGAATTCGACTCCGAATCCGAATTCAGGTCAGCAGCCAATTAATTTGGAGGAAAGGCAAGGTCTATTCGGTCGAATTCGTGTCAAGTTATTCTCCCTCCAGCCGTCGAGTCGAACACGCTGTAGAGAATCTCGACGCCACGGACCGGTGCAGATAAGGGGGGAGGGGGGAGGAGCGGGGAAGAGGTCACAGAGGTCGGGATTAAAGTTTTAATCAAATTAAATATGTTTTCACTCCCTGAGTTCCATTTTCCCCTTCGCTGCCCTAGTTCGGGAATTCGTGTTCGTACTCGGCCTCCTGCCCGATGTTCGAGCTCTGACTCCGACCCCACGAATTCGTCGAATTCCGAACCTCGTCTCGACTTCGCCCAGGCTTAGTCTGATCGATCAATGAGAACCCGTCATGGCTGGAGCGCGCACTCTTGTCGAAGAGATCCTCGTGACCAGCAATTCTCATCTCATTCCGAAGTTGCTGGGGTGTTTTTTTTTCGAAGTCACTATTTCTCCGAACGTTCGGGAAAATAAAGTAGAACTCTATTTCTCCAAACGGTTTCCGATCTCAAGATTTTTTGGTTATTTGCGAGATTTAGACGTCATCGTTTCATTCTGCCATTCGGCGAGGACTGGGAAGACGCATTTTTTGCATCGAATTCAATTTCTAAAGCTAGAGATTTTTAAATGTCTGAATATTCAGATACTTCAGTTGTGGTTGGGGCTACGTGCCCGGACTATACTTCATTTGAAAATACCTTCAAAAGGTACTCCGAGAAAACCTGACTGCTTGACCTTGGCAGTAACCTATTTTGCATTTAGTAGTCAATAGTCACCCAACAAAAATTAAAATCCTTCAAGTAAAAAAAAATCCCTCCACGCC